AAAGTCCTCATAATTGCAGAGTTTCTTTTGAATCAACAGCAGCAACTTCAACATTTGTCTAATTCATTACGTAGATGCAAACATTGTAGTAAATGTAGTGTGGTAAAAAAAAAAAACATTCTTATCTATTAATCACCAAGTGAAGGCATTTAAAAAATAATATTTAGCTTTGTAAACAAAAATTAAAAAAAAGTAAAAAAAAAAAAAAAACACTTGTAAACAAACAAATGGGAGCCCCATTATTTAAAAAAACAAAAAAGCAGGAAAACAATCAGGCAATACTTGAAAATGTGCAAGAGGCTTTTTTATTTGTCTGATGGAATGATTAAAAGAAATGTTTTGTCGCCATCTTTTATCATATTTTGTGTAAAAACCAAACAAGGCAACATTGAAAACAATACAAAATTAGAAAATATGTTTTACACTTTCAATCATAAATACTGATTGTTTAAAAACTGTTTAGTTTTTGTTTTTCTGGTGTTCGTTGTCTGCAGTTTTGGCTTGACACTGGTGAGATGTCCATCCTTAAAATGAATCACAAAATGTTAGTAAGACAATAATGGTCTTGGACATTGAAAATTGGTGTACTTTATATCATATGAGCAGGAAATGTAAGGGAGGAATAGATCAATAAAATACTTACTTCTGATTTTCTGTGGTGTCCTCTGAAGGCTTCTTATTCCTGTGGCTGATTTAACAGTCGGCAAAGAAAAGTTTTTGAGTCTTAAGTGAGGAATAAACAACTGAGCAACAAAAACACTGTTTGATCGACGTACCTTCTCTGAAATCTTATTCCGAGCAGGATAGCTAAACAAATCATGACTGCCATTACTGCAGCAATCAAAGCCCATTCTTTAGAGCAAAAAAAGATATGAAATACATTTCAACAATAGAAATAACTGAAAACTCCATATGTGAGAGTCTCATCATGCACTTACGGAGGGCGTGGTAATACGATGGGGATTGTTTATCCAACCCTGACAAATGAGATTGAAACATGTAAAATATACCATTCACTAAATAATAATTCAATGAGAATCTTCCAAAGAGTTCCTCACTTTCATCAGACGTCTCTGCGAGTCCAGGAACGGTGACCATCAGCTCTCTGGGAGCAGCAGAGTGAACTGATACTGAACATCCAACCTGTGAGCTGCTGAGAGCTGACAGCAGAGCTGTGGTGGTGACGGTGACGGTACCGTTGGTGTTGGTCTCTCTGCTGGTGTTGTAGTGGGAGAAGCTGAGGTTCTGATGGAGAACAGTCAGTGTTACCATGGGAACAGGTCGACCTGTGGCTGAACAGGTCACAACCGACCCTGGAGGATAGTTTCTGATGTTAATGAAGGGTCCATCCAGCTCTGTGTGGAGAACAGAGGTCAGCATCAACATCTGGTTATAGAAGTTAACACTATGATACTTTCAGGTTCTCACCATAAACTATCAGACATGTTCTTCCTGTCAGAGCTCCATCAGGATAAGTGTTGAACAGACAGAGATAACATCCTTCATCCTGATCTGTGATGTTCCTGATAACTATAGAGTTCTTCTGCAGTTTAGCTTCTGTAAACTGAACTTTATCTCTAAATCCATCATTCACTGTTTCACCATAATACTCGCTGTAGGAACCAATATTCCTCTCTGTTCTCTCCAAGACCTTCTGCCAGGTGACCTGCTGGACGTCTTTAGTTTCCAGCAGCTGACAGCTGAGAGGAGCATCTTCTCCTACTGCTGCTGACACCGTCTGCTGGGTTTGGATCACAGCTGCTAGACCTGTATGAAGGAGATCAGATGACCTGTATCTAGATTTTATGACAAAAGTACCTTGTAAAACATTTCATATACTAGATGTTTCACAGCCACAAACTTCAATATAGTTTAATAAAGTTGGATGTTGAAGATATGTAACATTTGGACCATGCCCACTTTTTATATTTTAATAGTAAAAGTGGGCAAAAAATAATTATTTGCACAAGTCATTAAAGGGCAAGTTCTAACTAGCTGCTAAAAACCAGTTGACATCACATATTTCACTTGTATTTGTAATGCAATAGGTTGCACTTTATTGCATTGTAGGGATAATAAAGTAAAGCAGCTTCAACAGAAATGCATGCCACACTTTTCAGATTTGGATCTATAAAAAATCTTTTGCATTAAATATGTTTCAGTTTGTGTTTGAAATAGGACAAAATGCGGAACATGAAAACCTTTACATGATATAATAAATAAACGAGACGGTCTACTTCCACAGAGATTTGTCAGCTGTTTCCTTTCAATTTGAAACATGATCAAAATACAAAAGTTAAAAACGTTTTTAATAACAAAACTGTCCCCAGCTGCTACATTTTAGCATAAAGCTGCGAAAGACAAATGTTCTGATCGTACCTTTACTAAAGATTACCAACAGGAAAAATAAAATCGGTACAGCAAGTATGTGCTCCATATGTGCGCCAGAAATTCAAATATGAATTGTCTTCTTCCGCTTCTTCTTCTTCTTGTTTTTTGGCTGTTGGCAAGCAACTTAAATGTGTGCATTACCGCCACCTACTGGAATGGAGAGTGGATCAGACTGCAATTTATATAATCTCCCCCCCCACACCCAAAAAAAACATCTTATATCCTTTCTATCAGTTTAGTTTTCTTAAGATAGTTTATTAAATAACGTAAATATTCAGAAGTAGAAGAATTCCCCAAAACATCTTGTATTTTTAAGTGTAACTTATTTTTTTAGAAGTCTACATTCTAACTTCCTTCTTTCATCAGAGTACTTAGGACATAACAACAAAACATGTTTTACTGTCTCTTCTTGAAAACAAAAAACACAAATACCTGTTGGATGTTTCCACAATTTAAAGAGTGTACTGTTTAAACCTGTATGACCAAAACCTAACCTGGATGTAATGTTTTCTTCTTTTCTACTTCTTCCTGTTCCCCTCATTGCACCAACTTTCCTTTGAATCCTATAAAGCATCTACCAGTTCTCTCTTCTTCTCGCTGCTTCTGCCATCCTTCCTTAGACTTTTGTTTAATAATAGATTTTATTTCCTCTTTACTAAATGGAATCAGTATCTCAATATTACTGTTTTTTTAAGCTTGTTTTGCATATTTATCTGCCAACTCATTTCCTTTTATTCCTACATGAAATGGAACCCCTGCAAATATGACTATTAAACCCATGGCCTGAATTCTATAAAGTAATAACTGAATCTCCAATAAAAGGTCAGGTCTACTATTAGATTGATTATTTTTAATTGAGTATAATGATGAACTTGAATCAGAACAAATTAAACTTCTCAAAGGACAAACCTGTTCAATCCAACCTAAAGTCAAAATGATTCCCATCATGTCCCCTGTAAACACTGAGACCCCATCAGTAATCCTCTTACATTTTTTAATACAAAATTCTGGGACGATAAACGACACCCCATTGTTGCTTCTGAGCTCTTAGAAGCATCTGTAAACACTTGAACAAAACCAAAATATTTATTATCTATATATGATTGCACTGAGTATGATTCTGAAAAATTTCCTTTTTTCCTCTTCTCCAACAATAAGTCCACAACGACATCATGAAACAGAGATGGATGGAGCAGTGAAAGAGGAACTGTTTGACTCATATAAACGATAAATCAAAATCTTTCACATCGCTTTCTATCTCCCAACCAAAGGATTTTAAAGTCTTTTCCCCCTTTTCCCAACTAGGTTTTAAAATTTCTTGACATGGATGGTTTTCATAATGACCCTGTAAATAACACCAATAAGATAACCTTAACTGTAATCTTCTGAGATAAAGTGGTATTTCCCCCCATTTCAACTAATAAAGCTGAAATTGGAGTTGTTCTGACAGCTCCTGTACCCAACCTCAAGGCTTGATACTGAATAATATCAAATTTTTTAAGAAGTATTTCTGATGCCGATCCAAAGGTTATGCTGCCATAATCTAATACAAACCTTATTAAACCCGTAGTTTTCAACGCTTTCCTCTCAGCACCCCACCAAACACCTCATAACATTTAAAACTCTCTTACACTTATCCACTACTTTTTGAATATAAATATCCCAAGTCGTATTGTCAATATGACGTGACGCTGAAAAAGTGGTGCCTGCACGAAACGAAAATAAATTAGAATTTAATTCTGATTTAAAATATGAGAAAACAGGATCTTGTGCGTAAACAACTTACGCCAAAAACGGACGTGCTTTTAAACTTTCACTTCTGGTCATGACGCTTATGTTTTGTCATATGACCAAAGTGCCAATTTTCAAAATTAATAAAAAAAAACAGAAAGAAAAGAATAAATAAATAAAGTCCTAATATCAAGTTCCAAGCCCAGATCACACTACACGATTTCCACCTTACGACAATAAGGCAATGGACGACGAGAAAGGACATGTTTATAGTAGATTAATAAAATAAAAAAAAGATGATTAAAACCTTTGACCTTCTCTGCTGCCTAGTTTTTCTCCCATTACCTGTATTTTCTGCCAATAGCGTAATAGTTTAAGCACTATTAAGGTTTTTAAATTAGCAGTAAAAACACTGGGGAAAGTGGATGTAGGACACAATCTAAGTGAGATGCATTTATTGTTGATGGTTGAGTTTGGTTACCTGTAGATGTAATGTAGGGTAATCTTTTGAATAATGTACAGATCTGTACGTGTTTTATTTTATTATTATGAAGCACATTATTGTTCATGATATTAATACCTTGACAAAGTAGAAAAATAATGCCACCCTACTTTTTGTGTACATTTTTTCAAAAACTGAGGCACAATATAACATCTTTTTTGAATGCATGGTATAAAACATTAATGTTTAGCTGCTAGTCTAGACAGAAAGCACTTTGTCTCAATCTTGGTTAAAGACAATTTTTGACAATTTGCGTTAATTCTCTGTCAGTGGCTTGGGATGGTAGCAAATTATAATGAACTTCAGCGACAACATAAGAGATACAGAACCACAAAGGTAAGAGCAAATAAAGACAATAACACACACCCTGATGCCAAATCAAACCGTCATTTTAATGATCTTACAGGAGAATAGAAAACACACCTTAACATCAATATTTACACGATAAAATAAAAACAAACACATCCTGGTTTCAAGTTTAGTGTGAAATACATTCAGAAATCTAAAATGTGCACCAATTTAAATGCTTCTTGATGATTTTATTCTATTTTTTTTTTACTTAAGTTTTTCAAAAATATTTTTGTAAACTTATTGCAGCTACTAATTAGTAAAACTGCAATAGTTTGCCATGAAGATTTTCTTGTGAGGTGTAAAATGATCTTTTTTTTGTTAAAAAAAGGTATAAAAACACAGTAAAAAAATATAAAAACCAAACAAAGCACAATTAAAAAAATAATAAAAACCACTAACATCTAAACAATCAGGCAACTGCAAACACTGTTGGAGTATCTGATCTCGTAACGGGTTTTGGTCCAATTAACTTGAGGTTTAGCTGCCTTATCAGTTTGATCAGATATTGATGAGTTACTGTTGGCATCAACAACAATCCTTGACTCATTCATGTGTGTTTGAGAAATACTAGAATCTCATGTAGCGACCATTAGTTTCATTCAAGTTATTTCTGACATGAATGGTATTTTTGTAATAACTGAAGGTAACAATTAAAATGGTCACACTATGTGCTTGGAAAATATATAATATTCCAACACTCCTTTTAAACATTCAAATTAGGTGCTTCTGTAGTCATGGTGATGGATTACAGGTGTTAGAGCTGGTCTGTATTCAATATTTTGGACATTAACTGCTCGCTGCACCTTGTCCTTATGTTAAAATATTTTGGGATTTATGAGACATAACCTGAACAGCAATGATATTCTGGGTTTTGTTTATTTAACACATGTACAGTTTTAATTCTCTACTCTTTTTTCATCCTCGCTGTTTTGTCTCTGCCTCTCAGATGTTCGTAGTCTGACGTCTTTGTTCGACACTGGTGAGTCGTCCAAACTTGAAAACAAAATGAACATGTTAGTAAGAAATGAATCTGCCTTGTAATGTTAGGAAATATAAAGTTAACACATTAGAAGGGAATGTAAAAGATGAGATAAATCTCCATCTGTGTAGCTGAGGAATGAATGAATAAAATCCTTACTTTTGATTGCCAGTGGGGTTCTCTGAACGTTTCCTATTCCTGGGAATGATTTTAGAGTCAGTAACTCAAATCAAATCTGAGTCATTAATGATGTGAAACTCAACAACAAGAGATGCTGTTTAATTGAGGTACCTGTTCTGAGATATTCTTCTGAATTGTAAAACACAAATACAGATCAGGAACCCCAGGAATACAACAATCAGAGGCCATCCTTTAGGAAGAAGATGAAATGTGTTTCAACAACAGAATAAAGTTAAAAATCAACATGTGAGAATCTGAACATGAACTTACTGAAACCTCTGAAATCTGATTCCAATTGTTTATTCAAACCTGATAAAAGAGATTCAAACATTTACGATCAGAAAGTGGTCTGCAGTTTATACACAGTGCCCAAAAGTAATCACAACCATGGAGGTCCCCCATACACACACACGCACACACGCACACACGCACACACACACACACACACACACACACACACACACACACACAAACACCAATTTGCTCCTATTGTTTTCCACATTTTGTTGCATTACAAATCTAAACTTTCATGCATTTTAAAGAGATTTTATGAGACCAGCACAATGATATGCAGATATGAAGATGAGGGAGAATGATACATACATTTCAGTTTCAACAGAAATCTGAGAAGTGAAGTCGATTAATCTATTGCCTAAATTCACATCAAAACAGAATGGCTTTTTGGTGTGAAGCAGATCAAAAATTAAGTAGATTGTTAATTTGATTTTCTGCACACTTGACGCTCTTCGTCCAATCTGATTGAGATGGAGCAATTTGATAAATTAAAAAAATATACAAATATTCTGGCCTCTAAACATGGAATGTTCATAGAGACATTAGTAACATAAAAATGCAAACTGGAGGGAATTTTATCAAATATTGAAACAACTTAAAACAAATGTGAGCCAGACGTTTCATATTTTTAATTTTATTGTTTGAAATAGGGTCTCTTCATAATCACTTTCCCAAAAGTGTTTGGTTGAACTGTGACAAAATTGAAAAGATTGATGGATGAGAATATATCTGTGAGGCNGTATGCAAAGATCCAAAATATCAAGCTTAAAGTCCTCATAATTGCAGAGTTTCTTTTGAATCAACAGCAGCAACTTCAACATTTGTCTAATTCATTACGTAGATGCAAACATTGTAGTAAATGTAGTGTGGTAAAAAAAAAAAACATTCTTATCTATTAATCACCAAGTGAAGGCATTTAAAAAATAATATTTAGCTTTGTAAACAAAAATTAAAAAAAAGTAAAAAAAAAAAAAAAACACTTGTAAACAAACAAATGGGAGCCCCATTATTTAAAAAAACAAAAAAGCAGGAAAACAATCAGGCAATACTTGAAAATGTGCAAGAGGCTTTTTTATTTGTCTGATGGAATGATTAAAAGAAATGTTTTGTCGCCATCTTTTATCATATTTTGTGTAAAAACCAAACAAGGCAACATTGAAAACAATACAAAATTAGAAAATATGTTTTACACTTTCAATCATAAATACTGATTGTTTAAAAACTGTTTAGTTTTTGTTTTTCTGGTGTTCGTTGTCTGCAGTTTTGGCTTGACACTGGTGAGATGTCCATCCTTAAAATGAATCACAAAATGTTAGTAAGACAATAATGGTCTTGGACATTGAAAATTGGTGTACTTTATATCATATGAGCAGGAAATGTAAGGGAGGAATAGATCAATAAAATACTTACTTCTGATTTTCTGTGGTGTCCTCTGAAGGCTTCTTATTCCTGTGGCTGATTTAACAGTCGGCAAAGAAAAGTTTTTGAGTCTTAAGTGAGGAATAAACAACTGAGCAACAAAAACACTGTTTGATCGACGTACCTTCTCTGAAATCTTATTCCGAGCAGGATAGCTAAACAAATCATGACTGCCATTACTGCAGCAATCAAAGCCCATTCTTTAGAGCAAAAAAAGATATGAAATACATTTCAACAATAGAAATAACTGAAAACTCCATATGTGAGAGTCTCATCATGCACTTACGGAGGGCGTGGTAATACGATGGGGATTGTTTATCCAACCCTGACAAATGAGATTGAAACATGTAAAATATACCATTCACTAAATAATAATTCAATGAGAATCTTCCAAAGAGTTCCTCACTTTCATCAGACGTCTCTGCGAGTCCAGGAACGGTGACCATCAGCTCTCTGGGAGCAGCAGAGTGAACTGATACTGAACATCCAACCTGTGAGCTGCTGAGAGCTGACAGCAGAGCTGTGGTGGTGACGGTGACGGTACCGTTGGTGTTGGTCTCTCTGCTGGTGTTGTAGTGGGAGAAGCTGAGGTTCTGATGGAGAACAGTCAGTGTTACCATGGGAACAGGTCGACCTGTGGCTGAACAGGTCACAACCGACCCTGGAGGATAGTTTCTGATGTTAATGAAGGGTCCATCCAGCTCTGTGTGGAGAACAGAGGTCAGCATCAACATCTGGTTATAGAAGTTAACACTATGATACTTTCAGGTTCTCACCATAAACTATCAGACATGTTCTTCCTGTCAGAGCTCCATCAGGATAAGTGTTGAACAGACAGAGATAACATCCTTCATCCTGATCTGTGATGTTCCTGATAACTATAGAGTTCTTCTGCAGTTTAGCTTCTGTAAACTGAACTTTATCTCTAAATCCATCATTCACTGTTTCACCATAATACTCGCTGTAGGAACCAATATTCCTCTCTGTTCTCTCCAAGACCTTCTGCCAGGTGACCTGCTGGACGTCTTTAGTTTCCAGCAGCTGACAGCTGAGAGGAGCATCTTCTCCTACTGCTGCTGACACCGTCTGCTGGGTTTGGATCACAGCTGCTAGACCTGTATGAAGGAGATCAGATGACCTGTATCTAGATTTTATGACAAAAGTACCTTGTAAAACATTTCATATACTAGATGTTTCACAGCCACAAACTTCAATATAGTTTAATAAAGTTGGATGTTGAAGATATGTAACATTTGGACCATGCCCACTTTTTATATTTTAATAGTAAAAGTGGGCAAAAAATAATTATTTGCACAAGTCATTAAAGGGCAAGTTCTAACTAGCTGCTAAAAACCAGTTGACATCACATATTTCACTTGTATTTGTAATGCAATAGGTTGCACTTTATTGCATTGTAGGGATAATAAAGTAAAGCAGCTTCAACAGAAATGCATGCCACACTTTTCAGATTTGGATCTATAAAAAATCTTTTGCATTAAATATGTTTCAGTTTGTGTTTGAAATAGGACAAAATGCGGAACATGAAAACCTTTACATGATATAATAAATAAACGAGACGGTCTACTTCCACAGAGATTTGTCAGCTGTTTCCTTTCAATTTGAAACATGATCAAAATACAAAAGTTAAAAACGTTTTTAATAACAAAACTGTCCCCAGCTGCTACATTTTAGCATAAAGCTGCGAAAGACAAATGTTCTGATCGTACCTTTACTAAAGATTACCAACAGGAAAAATAAAATCGGTACAGCAAGTATGTGCTCCATATGTGCGCCAGAAATTCAAATATGAATTGTCTTCTTCCGCTTCTTCTTCTTCTTGTTTTTTGGCTGTTGGCAAGCAACTTAAATGTGTGCATTACCGCCACCTACTGGAATGGAGAGTGGATCAGACTGCAATTTATATAATCTCCCCCCCCACACCCAAAAAAAACATCTTATATCCTTTCTATCAGTTTAGTTTTCTTAAGATAGTTTATTAAATAACGTAAATATTCAGAAGTAGAAGAATTCCCCAAAACATCTTGTATTTTTAAGTGTAACTTATTTTTTTAGAAGTCTACATTCTAACTTCCTTCTTTCATCAGAGTACTTAGGACATAACAACAAAACATGTTTTACTGTCTCTTCTTGAAAACAAAAAACACAAATACCTGTTGGATGTTTCCACAATTTAAAGAGTGTACTGTTTAAACCTGTATGACCAAAACCTAACCTGGATGTAATGTTTTCTTCTTTTCTACTTCTTCCTGTTCCCCTCATTGCACCAACTTTCCTTTGAATCCTATAAAGCATCTACCAGTTCTCTCTTCTTCTCGCTGCTTCTGCCATCCTTCCTTAGACTTTTGTTTAATAATAGATTTTATTTCCTCTTTACTAAATGGAATCAGTATCTCAATATTACTGTTTTTTTAAGCTTGTTTTGCATATTTATCTGCCAACTCATTTCCTTTTATTCCTACATGAAATGGAACCCCTGCAAATATGACTATTAAACCCATGGCCTGAATTCTATAAAGTAATAACTGAATCTCCAATAAAAGGTCAGGTCTACTATTAGATTGATTATTTTTAATTGAGTATAATGATGAACTTGAATCAGAACAAATTAAACTTCTCAAAGGACAAACCTGTTCAATCCAACCTAAAGTCAAAATGATTCCCATCATGTCCCCTGTAAACACTGAGACCCCATCAGTAATCCTCTTACATTTTTTAATACAAAATTCTGGGACGATAAACGACACCCCATTGTTGCTTCTGAGCTCTTAGAAGCATCTGTAAACACTTGAACAAAACCAAAATATTTATTATCTATATATGATTGCACTGAATATGATTCTGAAAAATGTCCTTTTTTCCTCTTCTCCAACAATAAGTCCACAACGATTTCATGAAACAGAGATGGATGGACCAGTGATAAGGGGCTGTTTGACTCATATTTATAGACGATAAATCAAAATCTTTCACATCGCTTTCTATCTCCCAACCAAAGGATTTTAAAGTCTTTTCCCCCTTTTCCCAACTAGGTTTTAAAATTTCTTGACATGGATGGTTTTCATAATGACCCTGTAAATAACACCAATAAGATAACCTTAACTGTAATCTTCTGAGATAAAGTGGTATTTCCCCCCATTTCAACTAATAAAGCTGAAATTGGAGTTGTTCTGACAGCTCCTGTACCCAACCTCAAGGCTTGATACTGAATAATATCAAATTTTTTAAGAAGTATTTCTGATGCCGATCCAAAGGTTATGCTGCCATAATCTAATACAAACCTTATTAAACCCGTAGTTTTCAACGCTTTCCTCTCAGCACCCCACCAAACACCTCATAACATTTAAAACTCTCTTACACTTATCCACTACTTTTTGAATATAAATATCCCAAGTCGTATTGTCAATATGACGTGACGCTGAAAAAGTGGTGCCTGCACGAAACGAAAATAAATTAGAATTTAATTCTGATTTAAAATATGAGAAAACAGGATCTTGTGCGTAAACAACTTACGCCAAAAACGGACGTGCTTTTAAACTTTCACTTCTGGTCATGACGCTTATGTTTTGTCATATGACCAAAGTGCCAATTTTCAAAATTAATAAAAAAAAACAGAAAGAAAAGAATAAATAAATAAAGTCCTAATATCAAGTTCCAAGCCCAGATCACACTACACGATTTCCACCTTACGACAATAAGGCAATGGACGACGAGAAAGGACATGTTTATAGTAGATTAATAAAATAAAAAAAAGATGATTAAAACCTTTGACCTTCTCTGCTGCCTAGTTTTTCTCCCATTACCTGTATTTTCTGCCAATAGCGTAATAGTTTAAGCACTATTAAGGTTTTTAAATTAGCAGTAAAAACACTGGGGAAAGTGGATGTAGGACACAATCTAAGTGAGATGCATTTATTGTTGATGGTTGAGTTTGGTTACCTGTAGATGTAATGTAGGGTAATCTTTTGAATAATGTACAGATCTGTACGTGTTTTATTTTATTATTATGAAGCACATTATTGTTCATGATATTAATACCTTGACAAAGTAGAAAAATAATGCCACCCTACTTTTTGTGTACATTTTTTCAAAAACTGAGGCACAATATAACATCTTTTTTGAATGCATGGTATAAAACATTAATGTTTAGCTGCTAGTCTAGACAGAAAGCACTTTGTCTCAATCTTGGTTAAAGACAATTTTTGACAATTTGCGTTAATTCTCTGTCAGTGGCTTGGGATGGTAGCAAATTATAATGAACTTCAGCGACAACATAAGAGATACAGAACCACAAAGGTAAGAGCAAATAAAGACAATAACACACACCCTGATGCCAAATCAAACCGTCATTTTAATGATCTTACAGGAGAATAGAAAACACACCTTAACATCAATATTTACACGATAAAATAAAAACAAACACATCCTGGTTTCAAGTTTAGTGTGAAATACATTCAGAAATCTAAAATGTGCACCAATTTAAATGCTTCTTGATGATTTTATTCTATTTTTTTTTTACTTAAGTTTTTCAAAAATATTTTTGTAAACTTATTGCAGCTACTAATTAGTAAAACTGCAATAGTTTGCCATGAAGATTTTCTTGTGAGGTGTAAAATGATCTTTTTTTTGTTAAAAAAAGGTATAAAAACACAGTAAAAAAATATAAAAACCAAACAAAGCACAATTAAAAAAATAATAAAAACCACTAACATCTAAACAATCAGGCAACTGCAAACACTGTTGGAGTATCTGATCTCGTAACGGGTTTTGGTCCAATTAACTTGAGGTTTAGCTGCCTTATCAGTTTGATCAGATATTGATGAGTTACTGTTGGCATCAACAACAATCCTTGACTCATTCATGTGTGTTTGAGAAATACTAGAATCTCATGTAGCGACCATTAGTTTCATTCAAGTTATTTCTGACATGAATGGTATTTTTGTAATAACTGAAGGTAACAATTAAAATGGTCACACTATGTGCTTGGAAAATATATAATATTCCAACACTCCTTTTAAACATTCAAATTAGGTGCTTCTGTAGTCATGGTGATGGATTACAGGTGTTAGAGCTGGTCTGTATTCAATATTTTGGACATTAACTGCTCGCTGCACCTTGTCCTTATGTTAAAATATTTTGGGATTTATGAGACATAACCTGAACAGCAATGATATTCTGGGTTTTGTTTATTTAACACATGTACAGTTTTAATTCTCTACTCTTTTTTCATCCTCGCTGTTTTGTCTCTGCCTCTCAGATGTTCGTAGTCTGACGTCTTTGTTCGACACTGGTGAGTCGTCCAAACTTGAAAACAAAATGAACATGTTAGTAAGAAATGAATCTGCCTTGTAATGTTAGGAAATATAAAGTTAACACATTAGAAGGGAATGTAAAAGATGAGATAAATCTCCATCTGTGTAGCTGAGGAATGAATGAATAAAATCCTTACTTTTGATTGCCAGTGGGGTTCTCTGAACGTTTCCTATTCCTGGGAATGATTTTAGAGTCAGTAACTCAAATCAAATCTGAGTCATTAATGATGTGAAACTCAACAACAAGAGATGCTGTTTAATTGAGGTACCTGTTCTGAGATATTCTTCTGAATTGTAAAACACAAATACAGATCAGGAACCCCAGGAATACAACAATCAGAGGCCATCCTTTAGGAAGAAGATGAAATGTGTTTCAACAACAGAATAAAGTTAAAAATCAACATGTGAGAATCTGAACATGAACTTACTGAAACCTCTGAAATCTGATTCCAATTGTTTATTCAAACCTGATAAAAGAGATTCAAACATTTACGATCAGAAAGTGGTCTGCAGTTTATACACAGTGCCCAAAAGTAATCACAACCATGGAGGTCCCCCATACACACACACGAACACACGCACACACGCACACACACACACACACACACACACACACACACACACACACAAACACCAATTTGCTCCTATTGTTTTCCACATTTTGTTGCATTACAAATCTAAACTTTCATGCATTTTAAAGAGATTTTATGAGACCAGCACAATGATATGCAGATATGAAGATGAGGGAGAATGATACATACATTTCAGTTTCAACAGAAATCTGAGAAGTGAAGTCGATTAATCTATTGCCTAAATTCACATCAAAACAGAATGGCTTTTTGGTGTGAAGCAGATCAAAAATTAAGTAGATTGTTAATTTGATTTTCTGCACACTTGACGCTCTTCGTCCAATCTGATTGAGATGGAGCAATTTGATAAATTAAAAAAATATACAAATATTCTGGCCTCTAAACATGGAATGTTCATAGAGACATTAGTAACATAAAAATGCAAACTGGAGGGAATTTTATCAAATATTGAAACAACTTAAAACAAATGTGAGCCAGACGTTTCATATTTTTAATTTTATTGTTTGAAATAGGGTCTCTTCATAATCACTTTCCCAAAAGTGTTTGGTTGAACTGTGACAAAATTGAAAAGATTGATGGATGAGAATATATCTGTGAGGCACTGTGCGTCAGAGTTCCTCACCTTCATCAGATGAATCTTTGAAATCAGGAACGGTGACCAGCAGCTCTCTGGGAGCAGCAGAGTCCACAGATACTAAACATCCAACCTGTGTGCTGCTGACAGCTGACAGCAGAGCTGAAGTGGTGACGGTGACGGTACCGTTGGTGTTGGTCTCTCTGCTGGTGTTGCAGTGGGAGAAGCTGAGGTTCTGATCGGAAACAGTCAGTGTTACCATGGGAACAGGTCGACTTGTGGCTGAACAGGTCACAACCGACCCTGGAGGAGAGTTTGATCTGCTGATAGTAATGAAGGGTCCATGCAGCTCTATGGAGAGAACAGACATGATGGTTGACATTAAATTATAGAAATGAACCCTGTAATCCTCTTGGTGCATGCTAGGTGGTAGCATACTGGACTAGCTGTGAATTTCATACCATTTTTTAAAAAACGGCTCCTTCTGGTTTTGACTGCTTTGCAGCTTGGAAGCAGTTTTGCTACTGATTTATTTTTGGGCATTTGTCATGATGCGCAACCATAATAAGAAGACGGTTTACAACATGAGTAACTTCTAAAGAAGAGCTGCAAAAGCAAATGTGGATAAGCGGTGCTCATGAACAACAGATGGTGTCGTCCATGTTGCTGTGAAGTGTCGTTTCTGGAACTGTCCATATTATTTACCAAGAGAAAGTGTTACTTTGACAACTGCTCACATTCCACCCTCAGCTGCTACTGACGATGCATAATTTCATCAGTTCAGTTGTTAAGCTGAAGACATTACACCCCAAGGTATTTGTGGCAACATTTGTGGATTTCAGCCACGCCCAATATCAGCTGCAGTTACATTTCAACAGTTTGACAGCTGCCCTACCAGAGAAAACAAGACGTTGGATTTCTTCTATGTAAATGTCAAAGATGGACACGTCTGCAAAGCAAGACCTTCTCTTGACAAATCAAAAAATATTAAAGATGTGAGGTAAGGCATGAAGAAGATCACAGGTTTTCAACACAATGGATGATTTGACAGATGGTGGTCTGGATAGAGCAAATGAGCTGGACTCATTCTTCAAGCTCATCATCACCATCATTATCATCATCATCATCATCATCATCATCATCATCATCATCATCATCATCATCATCATCCTCCCCTGCTCCCAGCCAAACAGACCTCCTACCCTCCTTTCATTTGACAGCTTTCCTGTCAAGCCTCAGATGTTTTATTTTCTACCTCAGTCACGGATTCTTCTGCTGTTAACCGAATCAGGCAGCTGCTCTCTTTGCTTCTCCTTTCCACTTCTCTGTATCTATAAAAAGTATAAAGAGGCAGCTGGAAGACTGAACCAGAACAGCCCAAGAGTCCTGAACAGAACAGGTGCTAAGCAACACAGGAGCACCACAGGGTACCGCACTCTTACCCTTCCTTTTCATTCTAGACTTTGACTTCCACTGTGAAACAGACTCCCGTTATCTACA